GACCTTGTTTAGGGCAAGTGTATAACAATTTTTTCCCGAAACTAAATCACATTTCTAAATGCAATTTCCTCTGCATAGTCAAGCATCTACAAGTGAGAAATTCAACTTAACTTGCAAAGCAAAACAACCTCAAAAATCTCTTCATTTACCAGCAGAATCCTATCATTTTCAATCTCTGCCTTTACCTCCTCCTTCCGCAACCCCAACATGACAGCCATGAAAATATGAGCATTGGGGGTCTCTTTCCAGTCAATCATAGCACAGGCAAATGCATCGGTTTTGGAATTTGAAGACAATGGGAAGTCGGACTGTAAATTACCCCAAAAGTAGAAGAAAACATGTGCTTAGTGGCCATCCTTAAAATGGTACTAGGCTTCCAGGGAAAATGGGTCATAAACGTCACCTACATTTTCCAATTTTTCTATGATTTTGAATGAATTTTGCAAGAAGTTGAAGGTTTTGAATGGATGAAACGGTGCTCGCCGGTTACAATGGGGGTCGTGGATAAGACATATTGGGAGTTTTGGAAGTTTCGGGATTTTATATTTATCAAATTAGTTAATATTTTAAGCTATTGGACCTAACTTGCCCTAATTTTTAAGGACTTTGGTCTGTTGTTTAATCGAATTATTTAGTCAAAACTCATAGGCGTTAGACTTCAATTTTTCAAATCAAAATACATACATGAGCATTAGAATTGAGGAATTTTGTATATGGGACCATTAAATTGCAGAGATGATAAAAAAAGCACCAAAATTTTTTTTTGAAATCTCATTTTAATGTAGTATACTCTGGATAATTCTTGAAAATGCTCAATCACCCCAATCAAGATCAAAATTTTAAAAATCTAGAAGAATTATTCTCTTTGTCCAGGGTTAAAAATAGAATGGGAAAAAACAAGGTGATGTGGCATGTATTGATTGAGTGTTGTTTTTTTTTTACTTTTCAAATGCTCAATCGTGAGCCGACATGTAGCGCACCCGTTTTTGAATCTGTTTTTCACCCTGCCCCTGTAGCTTGTTTGAATCTAGAATCTCATTTTATATCCAAATATAAACCACATGAGATAAAAATCCGTCTATCAATAGCAAAAAATAGTATACGCGTATGCAAAACATGATTGAATCCAGGCAATATCTTCAAACCTAACTTTTGAACACCCCCATGGTATATTCTTTTAAAACCAA